CACACAAAAATAAATAAATAGGTATGTAAATAAATGGGTAGAAAGATAGGTGTAATAATAAAAAAGTAAAATAAGAATAAACAGCCCGAAGGCATTTTTGTTTCATTTTAATACATCACCACATACTGCCTATATTGCATAAAAGAGCCCTTTTCCCCAGAACTTCCTCACCCAGCAAGCATCTCTTAACCTGCCGACTCCTCCTAAAATAGTCAAATGCAAGTGATTCTTGGATATGTTTGAATGTCAAGTGAGTCCTTAATCGCATCCCAGGATATCATGTGGTTATTTCCAATTTCTCTCTCGATTTCTTTCTGAACTTCAAGCAGTGGTGATGACTAATGAGACATCCTTTCCATCAAAGTACAAGAGCGTGCTCCCAAGAATTCACATGTACAATTTTCCTTTTGGACTGGACTGTACAGGTGTGAATAGCTTTGTGTTTTCCATTGTCTGAAGACCTTGGAAGACATCTTCTGTTACCTCCAGATGTGACTTTTGCTTATTCTTTTGACTGAGAGACAAAAAATCCTGACATTTATATAGGTAGGATTTATAGACTCAGACCTACTGCAACAAATCCAAATGTTCTCAGTGCATAGCAAGAAGTGACTTGACTCTGGAGAATGATTTTCAACACTGTTATCATGATCAATACATTTTGATTAATCACCATAATACAGAGACATGATGCTAAATCCTAGAAATAAGAAAATGCAGTAAACTTTAACCTCAGTTCAGTCACTCATAAAGAAATGAAGAAACATATCTTTAATACTTTATTTACTATTTTTATTTTATGTGTATGAATGTATTGCCTGCATATATGTGGTGCACCCATGTCCTACAATGCCCACGAAAGTCAGAAAAGAGTGTCCAATTGCCCTGGTACTGGAGTTACAGACAGTTTTCAGCTGCAAGAGCAGCCAGCACTCTTAACCAGTGAGCCATCTCTCCAACCCCAAAGACACATATTCTTAAAATAATAGTAAGTACTAGTATTTGTTAGCCAGTAAGAGTGAACAAATCAGTATCTCTGGAGTGCAAAGAAATGATTACTAACCATAATCGCATTCAGAAGGACTCGAGCACATCTATGAGAATGTGTGTGCAGGTGGGATTGCCTGTGCCTGTGTGGGTGGAGGCCAGAGTCTGGGTATCTTTTTTAATCTCTTTCTCCCTTATTTTTGAGATAGATATGACAGTTTGAACGGGGAAGATCCCTCATAGGTACTGGTATTTGAACACTTGGTGAGTTGGTGGCATTGTTTGGGGAAAGGTATGGAACCCTGAGGAGGCACTTCACTAAATGCAGGCTTTGAGAGTTTATAGCCTCGGCTTCCTACTTCCAGTTTTGCTCTCTCTGATTCCTGTTTGCCATTGGAGATGTGAGCTCTCAACTTCTTACTCTGTCCCCCCATGCCTAGAGCTTGGTGCCACACCTCCCCATGGTTGACTCTTATCCCTCTGAAAGCATAAACCGAAGCAAACTCTTTCTTCTGCACGTTGCCTTGGCCAAGGCGTTTTATCACAGCAACACAAAAGTAACTAATAAAATAGAGTCTCTCACTAACCTAGAGTCCATTTATTCACTTAGGCTGGCTAGCCAATGAACTTGAGGGCTCCATCTCTCCCCACCCCACCATCAGTTCTTGGGTTATAGATGTGTGTGCTATACCTAGCTTCTATGTGTGTACTGGAACCATCTCCCCAGCGTCTCAATTCATGATTTGATAAGGCACCACAACTTTCAAAAACTAAGGCAGAATGGTAAGTAGAGATTGTAGAGCTCATGAAAGTGGAAATGCACCTGGCCTTTTCAGAAGAAAAACATTACAGTGATGAGCCAGATGGATTCGCTCAATGTGTGGTGAGAGAAAAATCTGGACTGTGTAGCCTTTAATATCAATTTAGCAAGTGTGTATAAGAGAGGCATATTGGAAATATAAATTTAAAATCTTATGAGAAGTGAATTTACAAAAAATTATGAAATATTGTAATATATTGTGCCGGATAGCTTTAATGTCAGCTTGACACACCTGGGTTGAGGGAGCCTCAACTGGGCAATTGCATCTATAGGACTGGCCTGTGGTGACTGATGTGGGAGGGTCCAGCTCACTGTGGGTGGTGCCACCCCTGGGCAGGCGGGCCTGTGTTGTATGAGAAACCAGGCTGAGCGGGGGCCGGGGGAGCAAGCCAGTAAGCAGTGTTCCACCACGGCCTGTGCTCCAGCTCCTGGAGGTTCCTGCCCTAAGTTCCTACCTTGGGCTCCCTGATGAACTGTGACCCTGGAGATGTAAGATAAAATAAACCGTTTCCTCCCCAAGTTGGTCAGAGTGTTTTATCACAGCAATGGAGAAACAAACTAGGACAGAAATCATTATGAAAAATATAAGAATCACTCAAGGTAATGAAGCCTAAACTATATACTTGCAGAAAAATCAAGAGCAAGCCTAAAGCCTACAGCTATTAAGGTAGAAAAGCCAACTAACTTGGAGGCTGTTCCATGTAAAGGAAAAGACTGGGGGCTGGAGAGATGGCTCAGTGGTTAAGAACACTGGTTGTTCTTGCAGAAGTCCCGGGTTCGAATCCCAGCACCCACATGGCAGCTAACAACTGTCCGTAAGTCCAGTCCCAGGGGATCTGACAGCCTCTTCTGTCCTCTGCGGACATTGCCCTACATGGGAGCACTTACCTACACGCAGACAATACACACATACACATAAAAAAAAATAATAAATAAAATTAAAAAGGAAAAGACAAGCGACTGCTGGGAATTCCAACAACTTCCCTCCCACTGTGCTTAATCAAGGGACTCATAAATACATGAGTCAGTCCTCATCCATAAACATTGTATGGAATTTGGTAGGAAACAGGACAGTTAATTCTACAGGAAGTGAACATGCCCAGAAATAGCTTCCAGCCTGGCCTATGGGTGAATTTCACCAGTTGAGAAAGATGAGAAAATGTACAGAGAGATGAAACGGGGGGAAATATCACCTTCAGAATTTGGGGAACTTTATGATTGTAGAGAGGTGGCACAGGGGAATTCTGGTAGTGGAGATGTCTTGAGTGAAAAGGTAATAGATTCAGCTTAGAGAATCTTCAAACCATTAGATAGAGAATGCCCACAGCTCTGGAGGCACGTGGGACACATCTATCAACAAAACAGACAAAAGAGTTTGCTTTCATGGAACTTGTGATCTAGTATGTGGATATAAGCTCATGGCTAGCAGTATATAGACTGTTCATCATAGCTTAACTTTGTTGTGATTGTTTCCTGTTCTTTCTTGCTGTCATTCATATGAATAAGATGAAGCAGGCAGATAAGATAGCATGAGGAACCAGAATCTGATTCAAGGAGTCACCACTTGGGTATCAACATATACAGAATAACCATTCTATCTAATTCTTCAGTCTGTCCTCAGACTCACCTTGATGTCCGCAGACTTCAGAAAATGGTTTAGTGACTGAGCACAATAAATTAGAGTGAAATTGCATTTAGTTGGGAAAAACTAAAGTTTTAACATGCAGAAATCATCTGAGCTCCTAGCTTTGCATGTCTGTTGAACCCTCTGCTCTTGCTCTGTGCTGATGTTACACTGACGCTGGGATCCGAGGTCTTCTGACGTCAGCAATACTTCACAAGATGTATCCGGACAGCACTCTCCTGAGCTCTCAAGATGAGGATCTTCCCTGGGGGAAAAGTAGAACTAAAAGAGCATTTTCAGATCATAAATAACAGTTTTGAGTGAGAAAGCATAAAAGTGAAATTCTTATTGCAATTAAGATGCTGTGTAAATAAAGAAAAAATGAATAGCTCACTTGCTATCACTTTTCCGATGCTCCCAAGGACAGCTGAGGGACTCTGAGTAATGCCATTTTTTACTTGACTCTAGCTATATGATGTTCATTTCACCCTTCAGTAATCTAATATCCTAAAAGAAAAGACTGCACATTAAAGAGCAAAGTTTTCTGACTTCTAATGCCACAGGGAGCCAGTGTTCAAAATACTCACCTGACTGACTGAAAAACATTGATTTAGTTCTCTGCAAAAGAAAAATAGGGTTTTGTATATTCATTTGTCCTTCCTTTTTTAGTAAATGACTTGCTATAAGATGTTTCTTTAAGTTTTAAATTTTCTCTACGGTTTTGAAAACTTGTTCATTCAAGATGAATTGTTCTTAGCAAAGTATTCCTATATCTAAGTATAACAAATTTGTAAATCAAAAGCATTTTTAAAGCAGTATAGTGTCTAAGGTTACTTCAAAGCACTTCCAGGAACTTTGAGATAATCAAATAGGTAATCTTGGTATGGAGCAAGATGGTAATATCTTGAGATGAAGAGCCCATTTGGGAATAAACTTTCTCTTGGAATATAGTTTCAGATGCTAGGGTGCCTTCCCAAATTCCTTTCAATAACAGACATTTACTAGGTGCCTAATGGATACTACATCTCACTACAGGCATCTGCATGCCAGCTTCAAGGGTTTCACAGCCTAGTAAAATCTGCCCTTATTAAATTATGTTTGTTTGTTCATTGTAAAGTACTTTTGATATCTGGTTTTCATTACTATCTAGCCAAAAAACATTTTGAATATCTAAGGTCCTAATTTGTAATCATGTAAATTATTAGATCTCCAGCTGGCAATAATTTGTTTGATAAATACATGGGCAAATAAGAAGCAAAGATTTTCATGCTGTTTTAGAAAAGATTTCAGCTCTCCCATAGCCCCCATGTTTTATCAATAAAGGATGCTGGCAAGGATGGACTTTAAACCCATATCAGAAGTCTAGTCAATGGGGCAATTTACTACAGAATAAGGAAAGGTACAGAATACAAAGAAAACAAATTAGTGCTGCTGATTATCTTCATTGATGTAGAATTATTAGATTACCTTATGCACTCTGGGTAGAATGCATCCTCTGTTCCAGATAATGTACACCATACCTTATTTCCTGCCATTACCAACTCTAAAGATATATCAATTTTGTATCAGTTTTCCAGACCAAGAAATTCGTGAAGTGGCCGTCCAACAATTAGACAATGTCTCAAATGATGAAATCCTGGAATTTCTCCCACAGCTAGTTCAGGTAAGAGCCTCAGAGCTACCAAGAGACTCCAGGATTCTAAGACATGATTCTCTAAAGGTTCCCAGTAAGCCAACAGGCTCTCTAAGTTCCACTGCAATTTACCCAACAAAGAACTCAGTGATGGCCCATGTTCCCACGTGAGTAACACAGCCATCCAAAATTCATATCCTAACAAAAAGGCATACAGAATCCCAAAAGGTAAATTTGTATAAAAGTTTCACTTAGTAATTAGTACTGTGGAAAAAGTAGGAATGTTCATGATAAAAAATCTTTTCATGACTGTGTATATGAAGCTATAAAACACTGAGCAAATAAATGTCTTGTAGAAAATGGCTGCTTGCTCAGCAGCTCGTAGTTCATGCATTCCTTGCCATGCCTATGGAGAATTCTACTACTGCTTATAAATCTTATAGAAGTAATTTCTAACATCCAAATCCTGCTTCTAATTAGCACATTTCAGTGACATCAACTATCATAGCTTTTGGGATAACTTTAGGAAATAATATGAAGTTAACAGGAAATATGAGCAAAGACTAAGGGTCTGAATATGACAAGAGACTAAGACCTAAATTACTTAATCCCTGCACTCAGGAGGCAGAAGCAGGCCAGCCTGGTCCACAAAGTGAGTTCTATGCCAGCCTTGTCTACGTAGTGAGTTCCAGGCCAGCTGGGGCTACAGAGAGACCCTGTCTCACGAAACGTAAGATTTCACAGGTGAACACAAGCAGGATGGAATAATCAAACTATGGAAGGAAAGCTTGGCACTAAGATGACTGCTGGGTGATGGAGAAGTCCACCATGCCTTTCTGCTTTATTTTATTTTGTGTTTTATTTTCTTTTATCGTCGTGTGTGTGTGTATGTACAACCTCGGGTGTGGTTTCTCATGTACCTTCCATTATTTTTTTTAATGTGTGTATGAGAGATGGGGACTAGAGCTCACCAAGTAAGCTAGGCTAGCTGTCTAATGAGTTCCAGGGATCCACTCCACACACCCGGCCTGTCCCAGAACTGGGGTTTGAAAGTGCTTTCCAGAATCCCTGTTTGGTTTTTTTGCTTGTTTGCTTTTGTTTGTTTTTTTTTAAAGACTTTTTCACATGTGTCTGGGGCTCAAACTCAAATGCTCTCTCTCCAGAAAGGGTCTCAAAACCCCAGGCTGACCTCAAACTTAACTATGTTGTAAAAGATGACCTTGAACCTCCTTTTGACCCTCCTACTTCTGCATGCCAAGTACAGGGATTACAAACATCTACTGCCACTGCCAGATTGTCTTTTAAACTCAGATTTCCTTGTCTAACAAGTTGGAAGTTATTTTAAGTGCTAGCTGGTCCAGTTGACCATTGACAAGAGACTCCAAGATTGATGGGGAAGTTCTCTTAATAAACTCTAATATATTGCTTTTCACAGTCCACAACATGAACTGTTCTGAAGTCTTCCTGAGGGAGAAATCTTGTTTAGAAATAGCTGTGCTGTTTTCTGGTTCTAGCAGTCCTTAGAGTAATGATTCCCTTGATTTGTCAGGATAGCACAATAAAAAAAAAACAAAACAGGTGAATCCAATTTGCAGGATCATCATTCATCCTGTGACTCAGGACTTAGGCAGCATGCTGTACTTAAGTCAGCTTGAAAGAGGAAACTGTTACAGTTACATATAGAATGATCTCATTTGAAAGTGCCAGTCAGAATTAATACATTTGACACCAGAATGTCACTGAAAGCCATATGCCAGTAAAGCCAGATTCATTTAAAAAGAAAAGTGTTCTCAATCCAATACAACAAATACACAGGTAAAAATTGAACAAAACCACATCTATGTCCTAATTCAAAGTTTCTAACATACTCTGAGATGGGAAGAAACATATAAGACTAGACAGTAAAAACTGGGAAGAAATTCACATCTATTGTAATATTTACCCCAAGAAAAGTAAGCACCATTCAGGCCCTAAAATTTTTCAAGACCTAAAAGTGCTATTCTTTTGATTAGTTTTGGGGATTGTGCCTTCTTTTATGGATTATCAGGTTAGCACAATGTAAACTATATCAAAGAAGTAAGACAGGATTCTAAGACCATGATGAAAACCAGATGTGGTTCATAGCTGGGACTCAAATAAGGCAAAGATTGAGGTTGCCATGAGCCAGTGTCTTTACCATGCAGGCAGGCTCTAAGAACGGAGCTATGGTAATGTGTTGTATAATATGTATATATATAAATCAAATATAAAATCAATATATTGTATATCATATATATATTTATATTTGCTATACCATAAGAGGGGATTCAGGGGAAGTCATAACCCTGAATAAAGTAAAGCAAGGAGTTTGCAAGCAAGGGAGACATTTATAAACTCTAGTTATTGGGTTCCAGGATTAAAAAAAAAAAATGGGAACACATGAAACCGGTCAAGCATGGAAATCGGTTCTGGCACAGCTCCTGCCCCAGTGCCGGTATTAAATGCTCATCATTGGGACAATAAGCAAAACCAGCAACTGAGTCAGCCAGCATGAGTGAGTGAGTGAGTGAGTGGGAGATGCCGGTGGCTGTAGTTTGACAAGGCACATCATGGTCTTCTGCACACACTCCATGAGCATCTGGGACTCTTGTAAATTTTCTGAGATCATCTTCAGCACTCTTCAGGAATGTTTAACTTTCCCATGCTGAAAGGAGCTCAGCACATTGAGGTGTTGCCTCGGCTGTGCAAACAAATATCCTACTTTTTCCTGCTATCTGTACTGTGGCATAAAACCTGTCCTAAACTCTCTCCCGCTCTCTCTCCCTCTCTCTCTCTCTCTCTCCAGATAGACTTGAAAATCATATTGAATGCCACAGCTTTTCCTCTCAAGCAGAAATGAGCACATTTAGTACATGTAGAATGAGAACTCATGAGAACTCAGTTTTCCTTTCACATATTCAGAATACGGTGGGGGGGGCATGGGTACCCAGGCACAAACTTGTAACAGTGAAGTCTCTGCAGGTGGAGGTCTGAAGGAGGTCCCTAGGGACATCAGGGACTGCCATTGCTAGGCTAAATATCAGACTCTGAGAGGTTTCCACAGTGGACAGGAAGGAAAGGTTCAGGACTGAGTTGTGGTGGCAGCAATCAGCTTTGAATTTTTAAGCAGAGCTGTAGAATCTGCAGGTTAATACCTATCCATTGGTAGGTGATTTCTGCTAAGGTTTTGAGTGGGAGTTAATTTGACCTCCAAGTAGATAGAATTGTCTAGTGCTTCATAATAGCACGTTTATACACCACAAACTTTGGTCAAGATATTTTTTGTGTGTGTGGCAGAATTCTCCTGTGGGGCATGGTTGAACTCTGCCAGCCACTTGCCTGTATTTATTTTCCTATAATTTTAGAGAATAAATAAAGAGAAGAATTAGAGGACTATACCAAGCCAAACTGTGTAATGTGCATGCATGCTATGTAAATTATACATCAACGAATAAACTTTTTGTTGCAATGTGCATGCTATTTCCCACCGCCCTTTCTGGAGGCTATTTAGCCGCTCCGTAGTCTGTTATGTTTTTGTTAGTGAGAAAATCAAAGCACCACTTGCCTCTCGCTACAGGCTGTCAAGTTCGAATGGAGCCTGGAAAGTCCCTTGGTGGAACTCTTGCTTCACCGCTCCTTGCAAAGCATCCGGGTGGCCCACCGGCTGTACTGGTAAGATTGACTGACACAGGCGTCTTGGTGCCTTTTAATCACCAGCTTCTCTACAGCAGGAGAATATTCTTTCACCTTGAAATTCATATTAACCTAGATTTAAAATTCCTGACCAGTGGTTATTTCCTGTTCAGCTCCTCCCCTAACATGGTAGTTGTTTCTTCTAAAAATAGCTTTCCCTAAAGATGGCCTCTGGCCTCTGTCTCCAAGTCCTACAGAAAGGTAAGGGGATTCCTGTCCACCGATGACCCACCCAACTGAAGAATCATTGTCTTAATCAAAACCTAAAGCTGGTTTTGAGGTTTGTATGGGCTGTGGGCTTGTCCTGAGGGAAGGACAGTCTCTTCAGCAAGGCTACTAGAATTACCTTTCAGAGGGATCTTCTGCTTCCCAACACCCTACCAAGGAACCAATGGCTGGAGCCGTTTGGCAAAGCCTCACTTCCGTGAGTTATCTGTGCCTCTCTCCACACTATTCAGGGATTCTATCACTTCCTTTGTGAATCCTTTTTGTCTGTGGAAGGGGATCTGCTTTTCTGCGTTCAGACTCCTCTTGTTTACGAAGTCAGCTTCTAGTCTTCCCTCTTACCCAGATCTTCTGTTCATGAGTATAAGTTAACTGTTCTGCTTTCAAAATCTGTCTTTTACATAATGTCTACTATTAAATGGCAAGCTCAATCCAATCAGGTGTGATGTGGATGATATGTTTATGTGATGTGAGAGCACAAATTCTGTTTGTGGTTGTATCTGCTCATTGAAAATTTCAATGTTAAATCTAATTGTGAGACTATGACTATTTAGGAAGGAAATACGTTTGTAAAGCACTACTCTGCAATATTAATTATAAATGCTAGAATCTGGTGGCCAATGTATCCTCTTTCGGTTGGAAATTCCTAGAGCACTAAACCTTTTCCAAGCATAAATTTGGAACATCAACAGTGAAAAACAAGAAATATTAAAGAGCTTATCAGCCTGCCTCCTGTTGTCGCCTCCATTGAGCCTATAAAGCTTTTCTGCTTGCTGTTCCTCCTGTTTTATTTTTAAAAAATCTAACTTATATATCCAAATTCATAGCACAGACTTTTAGGAATTGCAAGTATGAGTGGTATAGCGTTAAAAGGGGTCTTTCTTCGGTCCTAAGAATATGTAACGGCATCATTTACTTGCTTCAATTGCTATTTAAGAATGTTAATTAATAAAAAAAAACAGCAAACCCACACCTTTTAGCTGCTTCAAGAAATATTCTTCACATAAACACCACTCTGCCCATGGAAGGAGTTCAAGCACGTCATAGCGAACTAGAGACACGGGAGCTTGTCGGGGACCCGTGTTTGATTTGCACTCATTTTCATTTTATATGTCTCACCTAAGATGTAAGTGCTTTCTCTGGTATGTAAGGATAATGAAGCTTTGGATACTTGGCCCCTAGCTGAACAGACTCTTATCAAAGCTCTGAATGAGGTCCACTTTGCTCCTCCGTCAGCACCAGAACGCTGAAGGAAGTGTAGATGATACTCTTTGTGGTGTTTTCCTGACACACTCAAGCTAGGACGCCATTAAACACCCTATGTGCTTCCCTTGAAACTTTTTCTCAATCTACATGATTAGAATGGACTCATGTTAAAAAATAACATGACCAGATCATAATCTCTAGTTCTTGAATCGAAATACAGAAGTCTGTAAAGTATAAGAAAGTAATTTCTTTGAAAGGGGCATGTGAAAGGTAAGAACAGACAACCAAGGACTCATGCTCATTGATGAGTGACTGTTATAGTTCCTCAGCCCCAGTGAGTTCCTCCTCTGCTAAGTGCTGTGAGAAGTAGAGTCCTTTGAAAGGCAAGGTTGAGTCAGAAAAAGCTATTGAACAATGCCATATCTACATGGTCACAGAAATACAGTTATGTCACCATTTCAAAGGGACTATTAGGAGGAAAATTTTTCTTACCCTGGTGAAAAAAAAACTAAAAACCAATCATGAACCATTTCTCTTCCCATTGATTCAAGAAGAAGAAATGGAAATAAATAAAACTCAAGAATAGACTTTTTCTGATACACAAGTTCATAAAAATATAAAATATAAAACAGGGTGACTTTTAGATATCATCCTTTTAAAACAAGCAAAACTGAAGAATTATGAAATATGGATGAAGTAGAAATAATATTGCTTACATTTAAAACACTTGGAGCTAAAAATAGGTAATGTTTAACATCATGCTTAAGCAGTGTTTTCTGCAGAATACTCGAGTTAAATTTTTAAAAATGAAGTTCAGTCTCCTTTGACAAAAGCAATGCCCTGAAATTTTAAAAGAGAGAAGGAAAGAAGGGAGGGTGGGAAGGAGGGAGGAGGAAGGAAGGGGAAAGAAGGGAGGAAGGGAGGGAAGGGGAGGGGAAGGGAGGAGGTGAGGGGCGGAGGGGAGAGGAGGGAAGGGGGGAGGGGAAAGAGCAGAACCAGTCAGCCATCAGGTTAATCATTTCTTTTCAGCTGGAGGAACTGCCACTCCTTTAGTCAATGTGTTTATTCAACACTGAACTCGGTGTCATGTCCCATACACCCAGGCTTCGGAGCTTTTTCTGTTCCTCACTCACACAGCCCTTTGTTCAGCAAGCCCTGTGACTCTGTGTGTCTGAAACTGCTTTCCCATCTTTACTCTTTCTACCCACCACTGCCCAGAAGATCACCTCCCCAGATACTGAACTATGAACCAGAAGGCTTGCAAGGAAAACCATCCTGACCACTTGACATCACCCTGCAGGTTAACTGACTTGGGGTCACTGTGAAGCTTCTCCACTGGAAGGATGAACATAGGATTAGCGCCCAGCAGCAATGTGCTAGCGCTATGAAAAAATGCCTGACAGCTCTAAACAGTCCATCATGGTATGCAAGGTACGGTGGCTGGAGAGCTCCAGTCTAGGGCAGTAGGAGCTCACAGCCTGGTTCATTCACGTCTTAGCTAATCAGGAAGCAGAAAACAGGACAAGAACCCTCAAAGTCTACCCCCAGTGACTCATGTCAACTAGCCTGCCATGTCCTAAAGGCTTCACAAGTACCACACCAAGTGCCACCAGCTGGGACCAAGTGCTCAAATGCATGAGACTGCTGTGATCTTTCACATGCAAATCATACCAGGGAATAAACAAGACTCTTTGGATTGGGGAAATTTCAAGACTTTATTTCCCAATTTGTACTCTGAAAGAGAGAATATTTGGGTTTATGCCTAGGAAGCCACTCCTGATAGAGCAATCATAGTAACAGAAAATTAAAATCAGTGTCCCTTTCTATTTGGAACAGGAAGCAGTTTTGCTGCCAATGAGGTATTGGGTTCAGTGGTGACCCCCATAACAGACATGTCCATATTGAAACTGAATTGAAATTTAGACAACTGAATTGCAACGTCATTTGAAAATGAAAATAAGATAACAATTTTGAGATGAGATCACCCTGGATGATCAATACTGGCCCTGGATCTAGTACTTTACAAGAGACAGAAAGAAGATGTACATAGTTTGGTAACAGAATGGGAAAATGAAGACATGGATTGTACTAATGCAAACAAGGAGAACAGGAGCCACTAACAGCTGGAAAGGGGCTTCCTTAAAGTCTTGGGGGGGAAATGGCCTGGACAGTTTGATTTCAGACTTCCAGAGCTATGAAAATAAATTATTGCAATATCAGTTTGCATCAGTTTGCAGCAATCTGTACAAACATAGAAAAGACTTTTTGGAAGGGCTGACTGAGATTAGTTGAGGTCGCTTCATCCAGAGAGCTACCTGTGACCCTCTTCTCAGACACCACGTGGGAATGAGTTGTTGCACTGCCCAGTGCTTTCCCTTAGCTCACTGTGTGTGACAGGCAGCACCTCACACTCCCTTAGCACCTCTGCTGAACTGGCTGCCTTCCTTTCTCCTACCCACAATGGCTACTGAGAGCCATGGCCTCCTGCTCTTGCCTCCTGTGGACTAATCCCAGCACAGCATCTGGAAGCCAGATATGCAAAAAATGTTTAATTCATGAAATCATAGAAATGTTTTTCAGTCCAACAGTTATTTTCACATAGCTATGGTTTTCTGTTCCTCACAAATTTGGAATTACTGGTTTGCTGGGGCCACAGCCAGATCATCTTTTTCTGACTGCTACAACCACCCCCAGCCTCACCACTGACTCCTACCTGATAGCTGCTCCTTGTCTGGAGAATTAATTCTGCTGCATGGTCGCTTGCTCTAGGATGGGGAAAATCTCTGTGGTTCAAGTCACATTCCAAAGTTTCCTCATGATGGGATCAGGAGCTAGACTTGACCTGAGATCTGGTCCTTCCTAACCTCTTAACCTTTCTATGATGATTCCCTTGCTCCCTCAGGAGATTCCTTGATGAACACATCTGCTGGGACCCTTATGAACTGTAATTCCATTCTCACATGCTGTTCTAGACAACCTGAAATAAGAGCAATGTTTCTGAGTGGAGATAACAAATTTAGCCATCCCTTGGGATCTGCTAGGGATTTTTTTGAGATTCCCCTGCTCAGTAGATCCTAAGTCTATGGATGCTCATAAAGGTGTAGACTGTTCACATAACCTACATGCATCCTTTATTGCATGTCAATTACCTCTGGACAGCTCCTAATGCTTTCTAGAATGGGAATAGTTGTTACGCTGTATTGTTTAGGGACTGGGACAAGGGGGGAAACGTCTTGCCTCTTCAGTATAGGCAAAAAAATTTGAGCACTTTCAATCTGCAATCGACTGAATTTCAGGGTGTGGTGGGCACCACAGCTGGAGAAGGTCAACTGTATGTTGTTTTTTTTAATTGGAGCATGTTGTGGAAGACATTACAGATGGAACAACATTATCTCCCTTGCACACTTATGCCAATACAATTGAATGAGGCCCATGACTTTGAATCAAAGTCCATGTGGATGGAGATGTTTTATAGCATATCTCCTTAATGAGAGTGTTATTTTAGACATGTGATGTGAAAATCTGAAAGTATCCCCTTTAAAATGAGG